AGATGTGTATATCAGCACTATACTGTACTTACGGTTGCTACTTCTTTATTGAAATTGAAATTGAGGGAAAATCAGTTATATTGTATGTGGTAATTTATGGGTCCTCTGAAAGCATAATACACACATTCAATAAACATTACTCTGAACTTAATGGAAATAATAAACAATGAAAGAAAACACGCTTACCTCACTGGAGACTTGAACCTTGATATTTCCGACTTAAGCTTAAACCAGGTCTTAAATCACATAGCATCAGTAAAACTTTTAAATCCGTGAATTGTTCGAAGTGAACTTATATGATTATTGTATTTTAAATGAACAAAATTACTTTGATTTTTCAGCTAGCATTGTTGGTGTTGTAGGTTTTAATAGACAGTCTAAATAGGTTAAAATATCTTACAAAGCACAATCAACAAATCATATACATTATAACTAAATAAAATGCAATAGAAAAAGAACCACTTTACAATTTCATTTATAGAGAGCACAGGAAAAAGACCAAAGTAGCTAATTATTTCAATCGTGATTGGTCAATCTCTTGAAATTAGGTCAAATCATTCAAGCATCACTGGCGTTAGCTCAGTGGCGTTAGCTAATCTGGGGTCTGCAGGTAGCGTTAATAACGCCAAGGACGTGGCGTAGTGAGTGGCTTTAACGCCACTGCCTAGTTCACACACAAAGGCGTACGCTACGCCATGCTTAAGCCAGCCTTACGCCGTGTGTGTGAACATAGCCATAAACATTTGCCCAGAAGCCTCTATCAACGTTAGGTGACAGCTTAATTAATCTACAGTACCATCTGGGATTACAACCCAGACAACCGCAGCCGCAGGAAGAATCTTGACACACCCTTTGATAAATCCATATTCGTTTATCATTTTATTATTTTAACATCAATTTTATTTGAAAAATAATCTTTTATTCATATACAGTACTGTGCATATTGCAGTAAAAAATTAGGCCTATCCTTAACAATAAATAAGCATAGAGCTAGATTTATTGTTCTATAGGAAAATACGGTTACAAATTTATTTATTGAAACAGTATACTTAAATACGATAACAAAATTTACACACAGGATAATTAAAAAATTTTGTATATACAAATTGAATAAGCTACAGAAGTTGCAATGTTTTTTTATAGGAAATATTTATTGTTTATTATTTGTTAATTGTCGCGGTTTATATTATTAATGGAAATCTGATAACAACCCCCTCCCTTCCCGCAACACCCTTCTAAATTCAGATCATTCACCTAAAATCATATTGTAATCTTTACCAGTCTCTCCGGTAGAAGCTATAATAGTTCGAACCTTAAATGAATTTCATTAATCTTTTAACAGCTTTATATATCGTGCAACTAATTAAGAAAATGTGTAATAAGCAGCTGACCAAATAGTAAACCTCTTTTTATAGTGACACCTAAACTGACCAAGTGCAGTAGGTCTAGTATTGTTATCTCTATATTTTCTTATAGGCCTACATACTTTTTTATGTATTTTTCTCAGGCTGTAATGGGACTAGATGTCCAAATGACGTGTGCATAAGTAATACAAGCATTTGTAACGGGATTAACAATTGTGGTGACTGGTCAGATGAATTAGGTTGCAACAATTGTGAGTATATAACAGCAGTACTCTTTCTTGTAGAATGATTGTCGGCACAACGACCGTTTTTGTTTAAGTATAACTATGTATAATATTTTATTATTTTTTCCACAAGGAATACATGAAGTAATAATAACTGAAATAATTATACTATGGATAATGATAAATATTGTTTTTAATAATGAGAATACGAGTAATAGGCCTAGTAATAGTGATAATAATATAATTTAATGTAATTTAGTTTATAATTTATATAACACTTCAACCGAAACGGTCTCCAAGCTCTGTAACTTGCTTCTCCCTAAGGATCTCTTCGTGCCTGAGGTACCCCGTACGTATACCGTTACTAGCTCTCGCCTGTAAACAACAGGGGCTGTATGGACTAATACACCTGGTTAACCCTCTCGTCTCGAAAGAGGTACAGAGTTCTTTAAAGTTCAATAAGCCGAATTGTGTACAATGGGCTTGTGGTTTATAGTCCTTATCGGAGACTCAGACCATTTATACAAACATAGCGTCTGGGTTAGAGGAGGCGTGTTCCACTACCGGAACCAGGCGATTGTGCCATTCGAATCAGCGCCGATATTATGGGTGTACCTTACCTTAACCGGTCGGCAATCGGACTCACAGTACTAATAACAGCAACATTTAACATAAACATTAAAAATATATTTTAAAAATAATTATATAAAATAATATTTCCATCTGAAAAATACAAACTATTATCAGATATACTGTATTTTTTTTTTTTTGAATTAGCGTGTTAACTATTTATAATATTTCACCATCTATTTTGAAATTAAAAGTTTGATAATTAATCATTTTAGCATCTGTTACTGTATGTGGAATGCAACAAACTCAAGTAAGCAGTTTTCGAATTGTTGATGTTGAAGATTCACGTCCGGGAGATTGGCCCTGGGTGCTTCTGTATGGGAGCTATGATAGGCCTTTCTTTATCTGTGGTGCTTCTTTAATCAGCGAACGATGGGCCATAACTGCTGCTCACTGCGTGTAAGATATTATTTCACATTTTGTCTGCCCTTAAATATTAATCATTTTATTCTCATATCAACAAACTACTTAAAGTTAATTCAAAAGATAATAATGTATTGAATTTTTGGTTAAAAAACTGTGAACGAAAATGTATTACGATATACTTTATTGCTTGACCCTTTTTCATCGGAAACGGTCTTTTTAAAAGATACCAAAGTTGGTGCAGATACAATACAAAGCCGCAGACTATTGCAGCCGTCAAATCTATTTTTTTCCTAGAAATTCCTTTTCAACTTCATAATTATATTAGTTTTAATTTCTGAAGTTGCTTGGAGTGACCTCTAAGATCGAAAAGTTTGGTAGGCCTATATACATAGTGAGGATTTGCATTTTATCTGCACCTTTTCCAGTTTAGTGATATCTCGTTTCAAGATAGGTTTCATATAACGGCACCGTACCCAAGTATAGGTCTTATTATACTTGATGTATAAAGGATTAATACTTTTCTTCATTAAATTTTGTGAATCATCACTTGATCAATCCTAGCCGCTGCTCGCTACTAACAGGCTTTAAGTAATGCTATTAGTTATTATGTGGACACATGTAGACTTACGCTTTTGAGAAAATGTAAAAATTTGCCAAATTAAACTTAAGGTACAATAATAACATAAAAACTCTACAACATAAATGTTCTCGATATAAAGTATCAAAATTTTAATCAGAACGACAAGATTCAAAAGTTAGAACATATTTATTGTCCGACCACGAACCTAAATGTTTTCCAAACATTGCTGGATAAGTTTTTATTGAATTGCCGATAGCTAATCCTACCCTCATGCTCTGCATTGTCTATTGTCAGTAAAATACAGCAAGAAGTATAGATATGCCCGTCATCGAACAGATTTACTAAAGTTAACTGTATATAATACAGTAAAACGTTTTTTCGTAGGTACCGGTAAGAACCAATAAAATTTGCTATGGCTAGCACTAAATAATGAAGGTGAATTATTTCATTGAAATAGAGTGAGCAAAAAATGTATTGACATTATGTAGCATGTGTGGGGAAATGATACCAGTACTAACAAAAAAATGATAAAATTACAGACAATTGCAATAACTCTTGATTCATCTTAAATGTATGAAAAATATCATATCGGTACGACGGTACATGAGTATAGTATTTTTTCCTTTTTCCAGTGTAGGGTTTAAAACTATTACGGCAGGAATAACAACTTCAGGCGATAATTCTGTGTTTCGTGAAAGTGTCGATATTGCCGAGACTATCATCCATCCAGAATATGATGCCGTTAGTAATGATAATGATATTGCATTACTTAGACTCTATCCACCGCTACAATTTAATCTCTTTGTTCAACCAATTTGCTATGAAAACTTGCAATATCGGCCAGGTACATTGTGTTATGCAGCAGGATGGGGACTTTCTCTGGAATATGGTAAGATTATGATTTTACAGTTGCGTGCATGTAAGTCATGATTTATATATAAGTCAGCTACAATATTCGTGCAGTATATGTAACAGAGCCTGTCCACTCAACGGTTGAAATTAATCTAGCACTGGCTCATATATAATAGTTACACACACTGTCTGGGAGGGGTTAAATGTCAAAGGGTCTTGGAGTGTAGGTTATGTGTCAAAGGTTATGTTATTTTCGGAATATATATATCCCATTGGAAGAAATAGAAACACATATATAAGCCTAATGAATATTTTTAAAGAAAATTAACTTCCGACAAGTGGCTGAGCAGCAGCTAATTTGTATAATTAAGCTAACTGGCATGTTATATGGGGCACTGTGTGATGGAGGTATAATTTCGGGAATTCGCTTTTGTCAAGTTTTCAAAACGTTTGAACTCACTTGTTTGTTATTTCTTCCGTAACCATGATTACTGCATAAAAATATGACGACTAGTATTCTGAAATTTACAGCTTATTTGAGCGAATGCCATAAACGACAGAGATTCAAACATATTGCTAACTGCATGTACCATTACATAATATCACGTTTTCTAGGGTTTGACTTGAAATAACCTTTGACATGGAATAATCTGAAAACTGTCGTCACATCTGGTAAGCTTCTCCATCACATTTAACTAATATACCATTTTTGCAGCATGCATAATGAACATAATGATTTAGACCTACTATCAAAATCAATATTGGACCTCGAAAGACCTTTAACCCCTCCCAGATGTTTAAAAATGGACTCTCCGTTTCCATAAAATCGATCAATCAAAATTATTTCGGGACCCATAGGTTGTGGAACGGTGATCTATCAAATTTGAAAAAAGTTGCATTCACTCGAATAAGCTCGAAATTTCAAAATAATCGCCATTTTTTCTTTTTTTTTTTTTGCAATAATCATAGTTATTATCAAGAAATAGTTATTATCACGTTAATAATCAAGAAATGACAAAAAAAAAATGTGTTTAGAAAACGTTTTGATAACTAGACGAAAGTGAATTGCAAAAAGTATACCTCCGTCACATACCATATATAATATGCAAGTTAGCTTGATTATACACATTATTTGGGGACATAATTTATAGGGCATCCGTATCTTGACAACCGCTGGTCGTATAAGTTAATTTTCTTTCAAAATATTCAGTAGGTCTATATACATGTTTCTATTTCTTCCAATGAGATATATTTCCAAAAATAACATAACCTTTGACACATGATGTACTCCTCCTATAATCTTTAATTTTTAACCCCTCCCGGAGACATTTAGAAAAATTACTCTTCTGCACTGTTTTTGTTGTTCATACGCCTTTTAAATCAAACACTCAAAATGCGCGGTTTGGCAATTTTTTAGGCCTTTTCTCATACATTCCAAGTTAAAAGAAAATTATTGCAATTGTGGGCGAAGAGGTCATGTTTTGTTGTTACATTTGTGGGCGTTACCACGTGATCGTTATTACAATTGTGGGCGCTGTTTGTTATATTTGTGGGTGCTGGTTGTTATATTTGTGGGCGCTGGTTGTTACATATGTGGGCATTATTACATTTTGTGGGCGGTGTGCTGTTACATTTGTGGGAGTTGTTACAATTGTGGGTGTTTTCACATTTGTGGGTGCAACACACGCCTTCCAAAAAAGCTAGCCCCTCAAGACGTTCCTCACTAGAAATCTATATAGCAACAAAGTACGCTCATGTAGTAAAAAATCACATCATTTCATATTATCGTGCAAGCTGAAGACTTTTCTTTCCCTTCATGACCTCAACCAGCTTTTCCACTATTTAAATACTCATAGATACTTCAATGGCCTACACTTGATTGGTGGCATATAGGACATGTGGCTAGAAATACAAATGTGCATTTTAAAAGTTAGGCTCTCAGTGTATATTTGTTACGTAGACGACTTTTTAAAAAAAGGCAAACAAAATATATATCATAACTTTAGGCTAATTAATAACTGAACTGTTTAAGTAGGAAGTGGATAATTATTATTTAGTCACTGTAATCAGAATGCGAATGTTAGCTTAAAGTCAAATCAAAATTCGAATGGGTGTACACCCTCCAATTTTGTATTTCTTATCTGCATTCTATAAAATAGTGTTACAAATTGCATCAATCAATTCCCACAAAAGTGTAAACACGATGTTTCACGAACGACATTAACAAACAAACAGCTTACGCATTCGCAAGTTTCTCAGATTGCATGTATTTCACCATAATTGACGAATACTCTTTAGATTATCGAAAATGAAATTTTGTACATTGCTTCAGTCGTCCTTCCATTTGAATAAGCATACCAGTAAGACGTTTTGGTAACAACATCATCATCATTACTCCAAAAAAATTTACTTCAGTACGTCGATAGCTGTATCACTTAGGTGATTCGCCCTAAACAATGCATTATTTTTACAAGGTACCAATCTGCAAGTTAGAAGTGTTTTCCTGCTGAGTATCGAAGAATGCCGCAGTCTATACCCCGAATATAACGTAACTGACAATATGATTTGTGCTATATATACTTCTAGCCGTGTACTCGCTTTATTCGTAAGTTATTTTTCATATTACTTGTGATCACATAGATATTCAAATGCCATTGTATATATTTACATTATTATGAATAACGTTTTTGAATAAGAATGGAGATGTTTGAAATTATAAATAAAAGAGGAATAAACATGTTTTAATAATATTTTATTTATATACGATAAGATTTATTTACAGCCCCAGTTTTTCAATTTGTGATAAAAATGATAATAACAAAAATAATAACAATATCAATAAGTCTAACGATAAGCAAGTAATAATAACAGCAATTACAATAACAGTCACAATTATGATTTAAATGATAGTAATGATGATGAAAAAAATGACGGCGATGTTACAAGTAAAGATGATGCTTATATTAGTAATAATCGTAATAGGCGTAATAATAATAATAATTATTATTATTGTTGTTATTATTACGCCTATTACGATTATTACTAATATAAGCATCATCTTTACTTGTAACATCGCCGTAATTTTTTACCGACAGAATGAAAAAGGTGGTCCTTTGATGTGCGAGTCAGATGATGGTACCTGGAACCTTGTCGGTGTCAAAAGCTTTGAAGTAGGATTCATGGCTGGAGTATATACTAAAGTGTCTAAATATGCAGAATTCATTCAGCAGACGATCAGTAAGTTTATTTGTGAATAATTATATTATATGATCATCTGAAAAACAAACTTTATAATACATTTAAAACTAGCTTGCAGGGGGAAAAGTGAATATGTTGTAAAACTGAATTTTTTAAAGACAAAAAAATGGTGTTTTACAAAAAAAAAAAACAACTCAGAAGTGGCATACAGTAACGGTATAACCCCAACATATGTTTGAATATTAAGAAACTGTGGAAGGGAGGAATAACCACCCCTTTTTATACCTTTATCCAACAGTTTTTAAATATATATAAAAAAAGACTCATTGTGTGTCATTATCCGGTCCCGAAATTTCATGATCAATTATTTTTTCCCCCTGGATCCTGGGTTTAAACAAAAAAGTTAATACCACTTATTATATATATATATTTATATATATATATATTTTTTTTATATATATATAAATATATATTATTTATATATATATATATATATACTTTTACATTACGTTTACATTCTCTTGACAGTCTACATCAACGGTTACAAATCATTATCATCATCAAATCAGTTAATGAAAATAAAATTTAGGGGAACGAACGAAAATAAAATTTCAAAGGGAGATAAAATAACACAATTAAACGAAGTCTTAATTATTATAATGAAGTTTTTACATATTCACGTAAGAAGTGAAGTACGCAATCAACCTTATAGACTGGTTTGTGCGCATTCGCTTGGACAAGGATATACGTTATGATAAAATAGAACTAAACTTAAACTTTGATGGATCATTATAGACGAATGTTTGTACATATCCGGTAGGCTAATATTATAATAAACATATTAAAAAATAACATAAAGATGTATACAATAATTACATGTACATTATAATCTAATTAGTAAAATGACATTATTTCTCATATCCAATAAATACAGAACATATAGCAGGTCGAGGTCCATGAAAAGTCGTATATAAAGATGTGGGTTACCCACATCTTTATAATTACACAAGTAATTAAAATTGTTTATTCACAGATTAATCTCACTGATAAACAATTCTACTATATTTGGTTGGTGCATATGAACTTCTATTTAGAGACATAATTTCACTATTTTCTTTCCAAAAATATTATTAAACATTAACTAGCACCTCATAACGACTTTTGAATGAAAAAAAATCGGCTCGGTATAACACATTTTACCGAGAACGAAATTTAAGTTAGTGGAACATACTGCTGTTACATCTTCTAATTTTACCCCGCCGTTGTATTTAGGTACAAGCTACAGTGCACACAATGAGCCAACAACTTGGATAGCAGAGTTCCGCATGAGTGATTCACCCCACATCTTTATATGTCTGAGTTAACGCATGAATGGTTTCATGGACCTTCTCAGGACTTTTTTCCTAACCCACATCTTTATAATCTACTTTTGCTGAGAGTTCCGCTTTAACAATTCCGTGGAGCTTTCGGTTTCTACGCATGACATGTTTCCAATGGGGATTTATCTGTTGAGCAAATCTCTAAAGAGAGAAGCCCTGGCAGCTAGCTGACTATGGATTTTTTTTTGTTTTATTATTTTTAGCTTTAAATTGCTGGCAGCTAGCTATTGAAGCCTAGTCTTGCTTATTTTGTATTGTCTGTTTTTGTTTTTGTCCTAAAATAAATAAAAGAAATAAATTTTGTGAAAATTTGAATTGTTTCTTTTGTATGTCAAATTATATATAAAAAATTGTTGGTAGTTAAAAAAGCTTCTCCAAAAACATGTAAACAAACATTAAAGAAAAACATACTGCAATCCATGCAGCCTTTCTGGAACTTATTGTTTAGAGACGCCATGTACAAACAAAGCAACAAGTTTCAGGTCCTAAATTTCTATTATTATTTAAATATGATTTACAAAATAAACTATTTACATATACTGTAACTGATTACTAAAATATACAACACATTGCCAATCATGAATAAAAATGCTGGAATGAATATATATGATATGCTGGAAACCAACATAATGTAAAAAAAAATAAATAAAAATAAGGCATTCTTGCTGCACTATTAAATAATTAAATTGTATACACATAATTACAATATTATTGCACTGGGTTGTTTGTAGCATTAAGTGCCTGCACTTGGCAGATCTTTATCTTTATCTTTTATTTCAACTAACCAATTCGCAGCATATAAGCTGAATTACATGGTGTAACAAAATGTAAAATTTACAATATAAAAAATTATTTCAAGACAGTTAATTACAAACGTTACTTTAACACAACTAAACAATATAAATACTGATTATATATACAGGTTAGTAAAATAATTATTTAAAATTAAGACATATTCAAATACAAAGTATATAAAATAGGCATCATGTTTATAAATATAAAATATGGACCAGCCTCAATAAAAATAAAACATTTGCCAATGTTATATAGGCAATATCTGTTTAACGCGTATTTTCTAGCAATCTAATTCTCAGCATCTTTCGTTAAGGCAGTGGATGAGAAAAGGAATTGCACTGTTCCCATATCTATTAGTTTTATATTTTTGGATTTGATATTTAAATTACAATCACTAAAAAACATTTTTTATGTGTATACAGCTAATTAGAAGATTATTAAAATTTCATTAGGATAATATTATTTAACTTTAAAGCCAAATGCCAATATTTGGTCTATGAAATTACAATCACTAAAAATATCTTATGTATATACAGCTAATTAGGACATTATTAAAAAAATCAATGTGATATTATTATTTAACTTTAAAGCCAAGTGCCTATACAGTATTTTGCTGATTAAATTACAATCACTAAAAAACATTTGTTTATGTATATACAGATAATTAGGACATTGTTAAAAATTCATTGTGAGATTATTATTTAACTTGAAGTCAAGTGTACCTATACTTGGCTAATTAAATTACAATCACTAAAAAAAATTGTATGTATATAGAGCTACAGTAATTAGGAGATTGTTAAAATTTTATTAGGATGTCATCATTTAACTTTAAAGTGCCTATTGGCTTATGAAATGACAATCACTTAAAACATTTTATGTGTATATACAGCTAATTAGGACATTATAAAAAAAAATCATTGTGATATTATTTTTTAACTGTAAAGCCAAGTGCCTTTACATTGTTTGGCTGATTAAATTACAATCAATAAAAAACATTTTTTTTATGTATATACAGCTAAAAAGGCATTCTTGCTGCACTATTAAATAATTAAATTGTATACACATAATTACAATATTATTGTATTGGGTTGTTTGTAACATTAAGTACCTGTACTTGGCAGATTAAATTACAATCACTAAAAAACATTTTTTATGC